ATTCCATAAAATATTTAATAGCATCTTGTGGACTAATTTTATTCCATGGTGGCACTAAGATGCAGAAAATATGATGGTTATAAACAAGATCCCTGAAACCAGACTACTCTAAGTTACTTACTAACTGGTTTACTATGGACGAGTTATTTAACTTCTCTATGCTTCAGTTTTCTCATCTGTATAATGGAGATAGTATTTCATGAAGTGGGATCATAAAGGTTAGTTGAGCCATGTTACTATTAGCTGTTATTGTAGAATCTTCTGAGAATGCAGATCTTGAAGCATCAATATAAAGTTTATGGTACTGTTAATTGGCCTTCTTATTGTTTGGAGAATCAATTCCATGTGAAATTTGAAAAAAAAAAAAAAAAAAAACCTCAGCTACTACACTCCCACATAATATACTGTAGAGTTGCTCAGCGAGAAGAAATTGTTCTATTGAAAATGAATGCCTGCAATTCCATAGCATCTGCCCTTGAGTCTTTTATAGTAAAAGTACTATTTTTTTCTCTCCCCACAGCATCTTTATCTCTATGATAGTTCCTACTTTTGACAGTCATATGTACTGATACTCTAGTTATAGTTTCCCTGCAGGATGACTGCTTTGTCTTTTTGAAAGACACCCTCAAGTGAATTGTGCATATGTTATTTAGCTTTTCTTCCAAACATCCCTCTAAGAATGTTGGAAATCCATCTAATTGTGTTGTCACACAGTAATAGGCAAAAAGCAAATTAACTTTTTTTTTCTTACTGGGGATAAAACCCAGGGCCTCATGCATGGTAGGCAAGCACTCTATCATTGAGCTATATCCCCAGCTTTGAAATTATTCTTATTAATTTCATTCTAAGAGCACACCCATAAATATTCTGTTTTTAAAGCTTAATTTCAAGTACACAGTAAAGAGAAATTTTAAGATATACCCTTTCTTTTGACTCAAATATCAACCTCTATCATTTTTAAGTGTTACTCAAAATAGATGCTTTTTTAAAATTTATATCCTTGTGTGATACTGTTAGAATTTTTGTATTATGGCATCGTTTTTGATAATCAGGAGAGTTAATGACCTACAAAAGCTATCAATGCCCAAAGGCAGCTGAATGACATACAAGTCATGTCATCTTTCCAAACAGTTTAGCCCATTTCAGCTGTTACTGACCACAGGACAGAATCCACATGTGAAATGTTTAAACAGAGCCATTTAGGTAAGGAAATGAAGAATAAAATAAAATGAATTTCTCTCTCCTAATCTGACTAGTATTTACTGTGCACATTTAACTTAAAAAATGAGGATCAACTACTCATTTTGTTTTTCACTTATTTGAAGTATGTAGTGGGTAAAGTGTTGTTCAACTGGGCCTATGAACTACCTGAAAAGAGGAATCAAAAGATGCTATGTACTAGCTGGCATGGTGGTGCACGCCTGTAATCCCAGCAGCCCAGAAGGCTGAGGCAGGAGGATCACGAGTTCAAAGCCAGCCTCTGCAACAGTGAGGTACTAAACAACTCAGTGAGACCTGTCTCCAAATAAAATACAAAATAGGGCTGGAGATGTGGCTTAGTGGTTGAGTGTCCCTGAGTTCAATCCCTGAGACCCCACCCCCACCCCCAACACCACACACAAAGATGCTTCATACTTACATAAATTCATTCAGCCCAGCTTCTGAAATTCTGGTTCTCAGTGCAAAGGCTCAGAAATTTGATTTGGTTGGCACACAATGAACAGGTGAAACATGGACTAAAACTAAACCAAGCATAGAGTTCCCTGTAGGCAGGACCAGAATATTCATTCCTGTAGCGAGAACTCTATGGAAAACCAACTTACAGTGAGGAGTTTCTGGAAGGAAATGAAGTTTGAGCAAGAGGACTTCATTGTATGATTTGAGTGATTAATAGTATGAAGATTTGTCAGACAGTGATTTGTTTCATCACCCAACATAGAACATGTGTTATAGAGTACAAACAAGCTGTTTCCCTTTAGAGACCTGGAAATTTCTTCCCTGGTTGCAGTCCATATGTACACCATCAGCATCTAGCTCCTTAGATCTTCTTTAACTAGGTCCAAGCTCACTGTCTCTTCTCCCCCATCCCATGTTTCTTTTAAAGGACTGTATTATCGTCAAATAGATTCCATCTTACTGAATTACAATCACAGTCCAACCCTGCCTTCTGGAGGAAACATCCTGATTTTCTTGATAAAGTTTTGGCTATTTCTGATCTTGGCCACTCATTTACAAACCCATTAGCCTATTCATACAGATACATTCAGAGCTTAACTAATTGAACTCTCAGAGGACAATTTTATTTCTTATATTCTTTCCATCTTCTCTGTCATCTGTAGGTGCTTCCCTTCCTCTATTCCCCTCACAGGGCAGTCCTTTGGATTTTTAGAACAAAGACTAGATTTTACAGCCAAAGGCAGGGATAACAATTAGCATCATTCAAACATTTTTTATAGCTCTCCACTCCTTGAATAATTGCTATATATGATTCTGTAGAGTACTCATGTAGGACCTTCTAAATCTGATATTTCAGACATAAAATATTTCTTAAGTAAATCCGGCTGTAATGGTAATATATTCATTGACTGAGTTTCCAATTATTTTTTTCCATGTCAGCACAAAATCAAAGAGACACACAAAGAATGGAAAGAATCAATCATGTTCTTTATGTGAGGAGACAGCAGTTGACAGTGATGCACAATCCAAACCATTAAATTTTCTGAAGTGCCCCTTTTGCTCTTAACCTTGCTTCTTCCTGTTTGTTTCAATCTTGGGTCCCTCTGTTCCCTGATGCCTCTAAGGCTTTAGATATGGAAGAAAGATTTAGAGTAAATCCAGACAGTCTGCAACGACTTGGGCCAATTTCCTCAGAGGTGGCTACCTCTTGGTCTGTAGGAAACAGTTCAATTTTGAGTCATTTCAACAACATTTTGGTTTGGTGCTTACTGTATACAATAAACAGGGGATTGGAAATTTGGGAAGGCTCTGGATTCGAACCTGTCCTTTCAATTGTTCTGAGATTTTGAGGTCATCCTGATCTTATGGCTATTGCAAGGCCCCAGAGCAGTCTTTGAGTGGCTATGTCTGCAAGTCTGGCAAGAGCCAAGCAAACCATGTATAACTCGCATGTAGATCGTAGTTCATAGACCTGAGGGGAGACTAAGGGATAGTATGTTGGGAGGATGTTCAATCACAAAATCCAACAGATCACCCTAGGAGTCATCATCATTGACGAATTGTACAGAGAGAATCCAAATCAATAAAATGTGCTCAAAAGTTAGTGATGAGAGACAGGGCCTGGCAAGCTTCTTATGTTCACAAGGGGGTAGTTTTAAAACATCTATTTTGTAGTTCAGTAGTTGCCCCCATATAGCATCCCAAGACGTCCATAATGGATGCCTGAAACTGAAGATAGTAATGAACCATATATACACTAAGTTTTTTTCCTGTCTACCACATAGTACCATATTTAATTTGTCCTTCTATGTTTTATGACCTATGTCTTATGCCTTCTTAAAACATATGTTTTAAGCTTCATTTGTATCACTATTTTTGCACCATGAGGCCATTATCAATAATCATTACTTGAACATAAACACTACAATATGGATTAACAAGATGGCTATTAAGTGAGTAATGGGCAGGTCGTATATACAGTATGAATACACTGAACAAAGGGAGAAGCCACATCCTGAGCAGGACAGAATGGGATGGCACAAAATGTCATCACTCTACTCAAAATGGCACACGATTTAAAACTTCAGAATTGCTTGCTTTTGGAATTTTTTATATTTTCAGACTGAAGTTGACTTCAGGTAATTGAAACTGCAAATGAGTGGGGATATATATATATATATATATATATATATATATATATATATATATATAACATATTTGTGATAATTCACAAACAACTGCATAAATCATGAGAAATAAAGCCCTTCTTATGAGTAAAACATTACCCAGTATAGGGGAAGGCCCTGTGTTCTCCTCTGTGATTATATGAAAGTAATCAGGATCTTGAATTTCCCCTGAATTTACCTATATTTATACTACTAATGTATGTAGTTCTAAATTAAATAAAATAAAAGATACAAGATATAGCCTTCATATTGCAGTCATTCTGCATGAATTCTTCTGTAACTGAAGCATTTTCATTCATTGTTTGTGAGATATATTTAGATTGATACATAGTATGCATTCATACTTGTTTCACCAGTTGTGCTTTTTATGCCTATGGCCCTAGTTTGGGCAGGCGGGAGAAGGAGGGAGCTGCTTAAAGGGTCCTGACCTGTTGTGGACCATCCGGTATGTGCATTTAGTGTCCCAAAGTGGTGACCCAATACAACTGCAAGAGTGATGATGGGATGTGTCTGTCAGAGGAAGCAAATTATAATAGAAGAAACTGAATTTGCATGGAGGGCCTGGAATCAACTCAATGCCATTTTGTGGTTTAAAAAACAAAACATGAAATAAGTATTTAATAAATGCATGTTTGCTGATTTTAAAAATGTTGTTTGTGTTAGGTACATTGGTATTTCAAAAATTATGTCATTTTACAAGTGCTGTGGGGAAAACTGCCTAATTAATTTTTCTCTTTTGTTTCTTCCACCTTTTCAGTATTTTAATCATTCTGTCCCAGGGGATCTGATTCCTGCTTTGCAGCTTTCTGAAGAACCCAAGTTGAGCATCATTAGTGAAATTCAGCCGCTGTCTGACTACACATCACAGTAAAGCTTTGGAAAATTTTTCTTTTTTTAAGTTAAAACAATAATGACTTTCTTGGAACACAATTCCAGTAGAGTCTGTTTTCTGTGTATCGTGGAAGACTATCTAGCCACCATCAGCAATTCTGCAGAGAGTTTATAAAAACTACTTTCACCAAACTTGAACTGAGTGACTCTGAGTTGGCCAGGGGGAACCTCAGCAATCGTCCACATCATTTCACCCTCTGGAAGATTCAACCAGTGAGTCCTACTCACAGCTGCCACCAAAATATCATGTCTAAGAATTCGGAATTGATCAATCTGTCATTCTTATTAGATCATGAGAAGGAAATGATCCTGGGAGTCCTAAAAAGAGATGAATATTTGAAAAAAGTGGAGGACAAGAGAATAAGGTAAGACCCTTTTATCATTTCCTCCCTCCTTGACTATTTCCTGTTTGAAGCAATTTAAATCAGAAATAGGATAAGTGTGACCGCATTGGAGACAGATGTTTGTCAGGGACGTTATGGGTTCCCAATAGTGGACCAAATATTAGAAAACATCTTCGTTATTTCAGCATTTAGTAAAATAGGAACATGAACTCCATTGAATCATATGGTGTTAATGAGAGCGCTCATTTGCTAACAACATCATAACTAATATCTAAGAAGAAGGATACTCAAGTTTGTTTAACAACCCTGGTGTGTATTTGTTGTGTGACTTTGAACAAGTTATTTGCTATGATTTGAATCTTGACTATTCCTCAAAGGCCTATATGTAAATGTCATGGTCCCCAGCTTGGTGCTCATGAGAGGTGTTAGAAACTATAAGAGATGGGGCCTATCTTCAACAGATGAATGGATAAAGAAACTGGTGTATATACACAATAGACTATTACTCTGCCCTAAAAAAGAATGAAATTATGGTATTTGCAGGTAAATGGATGGAGTTGAAGAATATAATGCTAAGTAAAGTAAGCCAATCCCCAAAAACCAAAGGCCGAATGTTTCCTCTGATATGAGGATGCTGATACATAATGGGGATGGGGGGGGAAGCATGGGAGGAATGGAGGAACTTTAGATAGGGCAAAGGGGAGGGA